GCCGGCCAAGCGGCGTGAGTGTGGTGCGGTCTCGAAAGAAGGAGCGAGAAGCCCCTGAGTCAAGTGTGAAGGTGAGGGAGGCCGAAGCCGACGCAGTACCTGAGAGCGCAGCCTCACCAGTACCTGAGAGTGCAGACGCACTGGCACCTAGAGCAGCAGCCGCAGAAGTACCTGGCGCAGCAGTACTAATGCCCGGGTCGGGCGGGAAACACTGGTAACAGTCACCCTCCTCACTAATAGTCACAGCATACATGGCAGCAAGGATAGCATCAAAGTCAAGATCAAAGACAGCTACGCCAGCCCTAGACAGCTCTCCCCAACGGGGAATCTCACTGGCCTCGGGGAACTGCTGACGCCAAGCGTCCGTCAGGCGGGCAAAGCAGCGCTGAGTGGGGTGCGCACCCCCACACTGCTCACCCGCTCGGTCACCGGAACGAAGGACGTAGGTGCATGGACCAAAACCCCCACCCCGCTGACGCTGCGTGTACCACTCACGGAGCTGGTGGGGCGGGGGGATGTCCCGCGAACGCTGCTGCTGCTGCTGCTGCTGCTGACGCTGGCCACCACCAGGGCCGCTACGCTGCGGGGCACCACCCCGACCAGCTCCACCCCCTCCGCCACCGCTGCCTCCACCTCCACCACCACCGCTGCCTCCGCTCCCACCGCTGCCGCCACCGACGCCTCCTCCTCCGCTGCTGCCACCTCCACCACCGCCCCCGCCACCACTCCCACCGCCACCCCCACTCCCTCCTCCGCCTCCACCGCCTCCTCCACCGCCCCCGCCAGCTCCACCCGCGCCCTTGCCCCCCTTGCCCCTGCCAGGGCGGCGTCTCCCGCTAGGGGCAGACGCCGCGCAGACCGACTCAAGACCAAGCAGGTCGGCAGCAGCAGCAGAGGCAACAGAGGGCAGCAGGGGGGAAGGAGAACACCCCTCAAAGATGGGGGTGCGAGGGTCACCACGAGAGGCTCCTACAGCGACGATGCTCTTCTCCGCCGCCAGGAGGGACTTCTCGAGGAGGTCGACAGTGAGAGTGGTGGGACAGACCGAGAGGTAGTGGTCCCTGACTACGCGAAGGGAGTCAGGGAGGCGTGTGACGATGTAATAGAGAGTGATGTACATGGGGGGGGGGTTCTTGGCGCAGAACTCAGCAGGAAGGGCGGCGCGGTAGCGAGTGTCACTAGTGCGGAGGTGCGTAATGAGGTCAGCGACGGTGGGAAAGGCAGCAAGGTCAGGAAAGAGGTACGGTAGCATGAGGCGGCTCAGGGCAGCAGTGGCAGGGGAAGAGTAGCGCGCAACTACAGCGTCGTACAAGGTCTGAGCACTCTTGTACTGACTAAAGTGCGCGCGCTCAGTGGTAGGCAGGTGGCGACGCACAGCAAGACGTGCAGCAGCATCGCGGGTGGCCCACTGAGAGCGAACAGTGGGGTCAGCATCAGTAGCAGGGGCAGGAGAGGCGCCAGAGGTGAGGTCAAAGAGGGAAAGACCGTCCGCCCTATCGCACTGTAAGAACAGCTGCAGGTCGTCGACCCAGACCTCAAAGTCAATGGCTCGACCCTCAGCGTCAAAAGCGAGGACGCTAGGGGTAGCCATGACGACGACAGACGAGCAGTGCAAGCAGTAGGGGAAGGGCACGCAGTGACAGTGGGGCTGTGCTCACCGGACAGGGCAGGTCGGGCGGCCCGGCAGTAGGGCGGCTCGGCTGCTCAGCGGCTCGGCGGCAGTGCAGCTCGGCGCCCGGGCGGCTCGGCGGCAGGGCGGCTCGGCTCCCGGGCGGTTCGGCGGCAGGGCGGCTCGGCTCCCGGGCGAATCGGCGGCAGGGCGGCTCGGCTCCCGGGCGGCTCGGCGGCAGGGCGGCTCGGCTCCCGGCGGTTCTGCTGCTAGGCGGCTCCCGCAGGTAGGGCGGCGGTTGGGCCGCAGGTAGGGCGGCGGTCGGGCCGTAGGTAGGGGGGCGGTAGGGCCGCAAGTGGGGCGGCGGGCAGGCCGCAGTTAGGGCGGCGGGCGAGCCGCAGGTAGGGCGGTGAGTGGGCCGCAGGTAGGGCGGCGTGGGGCCGGGACGGGCGGCGCGCGGGCGTCGAGGGGACGGGACGGGCGGCGCGCGGGCGTCGAGGGGCCGGGACGGGCGGCGCGCGGGCGTCTAGGGGTCGGTCCGGGTGGCGCGCGGGCGTCTAGGGGCCGGGACGGGCGGCGCGTGGGCGTCGAGGGGCCGGGACGGGCGGCGCGCGGGCGTCTAGGGGCCGGGACGGGCGGCTCACGGGCGTCGAGGGGCCGGGACGGGCGGCGCACGGGCGTCGAGGGGCCGGGACTGGCGGCGCGCGGGCGTCTAGGGGCCGGGACGGGCGGCGCGCGGGCGTCTAGGGGCCGGGACGGGCGGCGCGCGGGCGTCTAGGGGCCGGGCCGGGCGGCGCACTGGCGTCTAGGGGCCGGGACGGGCGGCGCGCGGGCGTCTAAGGGGCCGGGACGGGCGGCGCGCGGGCGGCTAAGGGCCGTGACGGGCGGCTAAAGGGGCCACTAGGGGCCAAGAGAGAGGGGAGCGCGACCCGGGTAGGGGCAGAGTGCGCTCCGGGCAGGAAAAAAAAAAAAAACGGTGGGCCCTAGGAACAGTTCCCACGAGGGAACCTGCTCGATACCATGAGAATAGTAGAACGAGGATGAATGAACTATGAATGAAGTGAGTACATATGGGAAACCCTAATTGGGTTGTACCCCCTATGGGATACCCCACTATAGCCTACACAACAGTATAAGCTATATATATGTTCTGACAGGTATTACGAATAGTAAGAGATGAAGTGTTACTGTGCACTCCTGACAATAGCAATCGAAGCATGCAGTAAGAGGTGAGAGAAGGGGTTGATGCTGAAAACGAACAGGCGGAATGACGCGAAGGGTCGTACGGTTACGAAGCATCTGGACCGTCAGGGCAAACAGCATCAGGCAGCAGCAGTGGCGGGGATTCTGCCAGAGGAGTTCGTAACCGTCTGGAGTCGCACGGTTGGGTTTCGCTGCAATAAGGGAATGTACCACCTAGAGTACATGGCTAGCTATGTCGTTTCGTATTCCACCTTGTACTCTTATTTATATACGTTTGTATTTGCATGTTTTACCGTATGGCCCCGGATATAAGCGCCGTCCGTTTAAAAGCGCCGGCGCTTCTATCTGGAGCATGCGCTTATAGCCGCGACTCGATTAGAAGCGCCCCCCCTGTAAAACCCTGACTTATTATAAGCGCATGCATATTTTTATTTTACAATCCTGATTAAAACGATAACGAATTTCGATTTTCAAGCGAGTCAACACCCATTTTCAATTTGTTTGACTTTTGAAGGCTTCACTTGTTGCGCGTCCAGTCAGGATGAGCTGGCACGCGGGCAAAGTGACGTGCCAAATCTCTGTGCACAGTCAGGAAATCGCCCTCGCGCGATTCTGATTCAAGGCGCTGTAAAAGTTCGATTCGATTTAACTTACTACTAGACTGAAATGCACAATTTGGTGCGTTTAATTTGTATTTCTGTATTTGTTATTATATAAGCGTCGGCGCTTATGGCCGATACTCAATTACAAGCGCGCCCCTTGAAAAAACTGATTTTATTATAAGCGCATATGCGCTACTATCCGGGGTTATACGGTAATTAAATCTCAATCATTTTACATTCACTCTGATTTGAGGTCAAGGGCCCACCACCACTACCTAGTTGTGTGCGAACCTAGGTGATCCTGGTTACGGTCAACTTCTGATCGCAGCAGAAGTGATAAACCAATATAGTCTTGGATAGTAGGGCTGACTGCATTTGAAGTGACAGACCTTCATCGCGGAGAAGAACATGTACTTTAGTTTGTATCAATGTGGTTTCTAAACAAGCCAAGACATTATGGATGGATAATGAGCAGTTATTGCATTGAATGCTGCTTTTTGAGGCGGCCCGTGCTCTTTTGGCGAATTGAGGAGGCTCCCAAGGTTTCAACTCGTTAGAGGCACCTCATGTGATGGCTGGTGCGACGCGAGCTAGCTGTTGAACAACAAATCAGCGTCCACCACACAATCGAGGTCCCAGCCCTTGGAGACTTCGCTCTCTGAGCAGCCCTGACCAAACTCAGCGAATGTCGGCAGCACCATTGCGAAAATTGCGCTCCCCGGACCAACCTCGGCGAAATGTTCGTGTGTGAGCATATGATGTCGATGTGACGCTGAACCGACTGTCGCTGACAGCCTGGGACGGGAGGAGATGAGAACATAGATACCATACCGTTCGGTCAGCCCCGGCAGCTCTGGTACGGCTGCCATACCTGATGGAAGCAGCCAGTCAAATTCGACAAAAACCGACGAACCTGCAATATTTCAGAGAAGCTAGCCCAACCATACCGAACTTATCATCCTAGCCAAAGACCTCCAGAAGTACCGCACCGAAGCTTCTCGTCCAAACCAATCCATGCTTGCTTGCCAGAGACTGCTCTACCAGCGGTACTCGATAACTACATAATCCGAGTAGCAATGCTCAGACGGGAAGCGATGATTGCCTTTTGCTAAGTAGTCTCCACCACGGATGTCGCATGCTCGACGATAGGATAGTTCGAAGCAAAACCGTTCGGATCGTTTTAGGAGACAGCTTTATTTCAATCGTCGACCTTCATATAGTTAGTCTCGGTAACCAATCTGGTCGGTATAGCGTTGACAGTACGCGATGGCGTGCGTGTCCGATCAAGTGTTGTCTGCTACGCCTGCTATTGCGGAAGAGCTGAGCGAGGCTGAAGCCTCCCCGTCGCGGCTATCCCCGAACCTTCCCGTCAAGGAAGCTCGCCAGCGCCGCCAGGTGGGTCCCTCGCCTCTCCACCATGTACCGCGTGCTCCCGGACCCACCCCGCCAGTAATCTGCGCTGTTTTTTTCCACATGATGCTGGTTTTTTTCAAGCTCTTTTCTCCAAAAACGTTCTCCTAGGCTTTCGTTGCAAGGCTCGAAGAATTCTGACGTTAGCTTGTGCTTCCCACGCGCCACGCCTGCAGGAGTTTCACCAATGGCTATCCAGCAAGGCGCGAGCCTCGCAACACCGCAAGAGCCGGTGCGACACGGGCAGCGATACCCCCAGCAGCGACAATTCCGGCAAGTTCAGTGACAGTCCCAGCAGCATCAGCAGCAGGAGCAGCCGAACAAGCCGTAGCAGCACCAGCACAATGACCACCAGCACCAGCAGCGGCGGCTCTGAAAGCTCGGCGGGTCTGCCTGCAGTCACCGGTGAGGCGGAAATCGACTCTCAGGCGGGCGACGCGGGTGACGTGGGCGAGAGTGGCGACATCCATGCGACGACGGACGACGAGGACGTGGTGGCGACGGAGCAGCAGCAGGAGGAGATGGCTCGACGCCTGGAGCAACGGCTCATGTCGGCCGAGAAGAAACGGTGAGTCGCTGTTGGTCTTCCTCGACATCAGTCAATTAGTTGCATGGCACGTCGTGGAAAGCAATGAATCAATTGACACGGCACGTCGATTGGAGCAATGAATCAGTTGCCATTGTGTGAACATATCGGTACAGAGAAAACAATCACTCGATGTTTGTCCATGTCGGAACGGTTGCGTAAACTTGTTACCTTGTTCCTTGTTTGGCTTTGTCAGCCTCGCCGTCATCAAACACATTCTCAACAACCGTATGAAGCATGAGATAGCGTCTGTCGACCATACCCTGTTTCTCTGTTGTATCACCATCTCTGATATCACCATGGCAACACCTGGTTTGATGAGAAGAAGATGAAAGATTTTAACCGAATTGTACCTGCCGTCACCCCCCCGGTCCATGTTTCGTGCAGTCTGGAGCGCGAGGGCAGCAAGCGGGAGCAGCAGGTCAAGTCCGCACAGCTCCGCCGCCAGGTGCGCGCAGCGGCGCAGCAGCGGCTCGAGGCGTGGGTTGCGGGCGTGGCGCAGCAACGCGAGGAGCGCGCGGAGAAGGCGCAGAGCAACCGCGCGGCCATCCTCACGGCGGGGCAGAAGAAGCGCGCGCAGCACTTGGCGCTCGTTTCCACGCGCACTGCGCAACGCGCTCGTCAGGAACAGTAAGATCAGGACCAATAGCAGCCAATTGTATTCGATAGTGCTGTTTTGTTTCCGATTCAAGTCAGACTTGCACGTTCATGTTCTATTCTTCGTCCTTCACCCGTGTGCCGCCAGGAATCCATGGTAAAAGCGTACCGCTTCGCATTTTCCGCCAACCTCCCTGTTCTCCCTTCTCTCCCACCAGAATTGAGCAGGAGCGCGCAGCGCAGCTCCTCCAGGCGCTCTCGGACCGCATCGCCGCCGCGTCGTCGAAGCGCGACGCGCGCCTGTTGGCGGAGCGGCAACGCGCGGCGGCGCAGTGGGAGCAGGCGCGGCAGGTGGCGGCGACCGTGGTGGAGCAGCGGCAGCGCGAGAACCGCGAGCGGCGGGAGCGGCTGGAGCGCAAGGTGGCCAAGGCGCGCGGAAGGCGCGCGGAGATGCTGCGGCGGAAGGGCGGCGGGCGCAGGAGCGCGCTGTACAACCAGACGCTGTGCCGCCGCGTGCAGTGGCAGCTGCTCTCGCGCCGCCTCCTGCGGTGAGACGCGCTCCCTCCTCCCTGGCTTGCTCGCTACTCCCTGCTCCCCGCATGCTCCCGGCTTGCTGTTTGCGCTGGCGCGGTGCTGGTCTCTCAGCTCATCTGGATGCTCCACGCACCCGCCTCACACCACACATGCAATGGTTGTTCCAGTTTTCGCCCCTTTTTTATCAAACTTGCATGTTTCCGTATCTCTGCTTCCTTTCTGATCAAAGCGTCTTCCCTTCCCCACTCCCCCCCACTCCCCCTTCCCCTCCGCAGCTGCTGGCGCCAGTTCAAGGGCGCCAACAAGACCACGCTCGAGCTCGCGCGCTCCTTCTGCGCCTGCCAAGTCAGCCGCGCGCGCCTCTCCCGCCTGCCCTTCCCCCTCGTGGCCGCGCGCATCCAGTCCCCCGCGTCCCTCGCTGCCACCGACGCGCTCCTGCAGCGCCTGCACGCGCGCCTGCTCGTGTCCTCCGCCGTCGCTTCCGCCTCCCCCGCCACCACCCCGTCGTCTTCCCCCGCCGCGTCCCCGCAGAAGCAACCAGGCGCAGGGGGGAATACGGCGGGCGCAGCGGGCGTGTGCGATATCGACCACCTGTTAGCGCAAGTGGCGCCTCCCCCGGGCAAACCCAAGCCCGCATCAGCAACAGGGGCGAGCAGCGCAGGGGCGAGCGGCGGAGAGGGCGCGCGGAAGGGGCGGTACCCGCCACGCGTGTTCCTGTGCGCGTACATGATCGTGCTGCACCCCGAAGCCGTGCTCTCGTGCCTCACAGGCGAGCGCGAAGCCGCCCTGCGCGTCGCTGCTGCCGCTCTCGTGAAGGCGTTTGAAGGGCTCGCTCGCTTCCTGCTCACCCGACCCAACCCCTCTGCTGCTGCTCCTGCTTCTGCTTCTGCTGCGTCTACCGTGTCTGCCTCTCCAGCCGCTGCTCCTGCTGCTACCGCTGCTGCTGCCACCACTGCCGCTGCTGCTAGTGGAGGCAGAAAGGCGGCAGCGAAGCCGTTTTCGCAGCACCTAGTGGAGTTTGACGTGGCGTGGGTGGATTACCTCGAGAGATTCGTTGCCTGGAAGGTACGTCGGGTGGGAGGCATGGCTTGTGGGGGTTACGGCGGGTCAATGCTGCCTCTCATGCTTCTCACACGCCAGCATGCTGCTCAATGCTCGTTGTCCATGGACCCCATGCGCTCCATGCACCCCATTCACCTCATGCGCCCCACCTCATATTCCACTCTCGATGCGCCCCACCCACCACATGAGCATGGCGTGTCAGATGCACGCCAGCATGCACCTTAATGCTTCCTGCCCATGCACCCCAATGTTTGCCTTGCATTCACCCTATGGCCCTCCCAACCTCATGCGCCCTTGCCACCAGGCGCACGACAAGGAGCGCATGGAGGCGGACATGGTTGGCATGGCGTGCCAGATGCACGCCAGCATGCACCTCTATGCTTGCTCCCCATTCACCCCATTCACCCCATGCACCCAACGCCATACCCCAATGCTCCCTATGCACCCTATGGCCGTCGCGCTCCTACCCCATACACCCACCAGGCGCGTGACAAGGAGCGCATGGAGGCGGACATGGTGAGCATGGCGTGTCAGATGCACGCCAGCATGCTGCGCCGCACCGCCCACCTCCCCGACGAGCGCATCTCCGAGGACCTCAGGGCCATCCGCGAGCAGGTGAGAGGCCTGGTCGAGTTGTTGACTCGAATGAACTGGTGCCTGGGAGGGACCCATTGTTGGCACAAGAAGAGTCGCTGAAGGACGTGTGCTTCCCATTGTGACCGCGCATGACCGTCTCTGTTTGATCCACTCGTCTCTGTGCTGCCACATGCGTCAGCTGCGTCTCAAAGCTCACCACTTGCCCGTCCCACCACCTGTTGCTGTCTTGTTCCTCCCCTGCTCACTCCACTGCTCCTCCCTCATTCTCCCTTCCCGACCAATCCCGTGGCGACAGGTGGCGAAGGACATTCCCATGCTGCGCAGCAAGCTGAGGGGGCTGGCGGGGGAAGCAGGAGTGGCTCGGATGGACGAGGCCCTCGCCCGCACCCAACGAGACTTCCTTGCTGGCACCCTCCCCACCTCCCCCTCCTCCTCCCCCTCCCCTTCCCCCTCCCCTTCCCCTTCCCCCTCGCCTTCCCCCTCTCCGTCACCCTCCCCCTCGCGTGCTGTCTCCGCCACTCCTTCCCCCGCCTGCTCCCCGTTCACCCTCTCACGTGCCTCGCCGGGTGCCTCTTCTCCCACCAACTTCTCCCTCTCCTCCTCCCCCACCAACCCAAGCCCTCTATCCGCCACTTCCACTGCCACTCCCACTGCCACTCCACCCTCTGCTGCAGCAGCAGCCACCAGCGCTGCCACCTCTGCTGCTCCCTCCAGAGCCCCCAAGGCCCGTCGCTCGCTCTTCCAGTTCTCCTTCCCGCCCTCTAAACCAGCTTCGGCTGCAGGCTCGGAGGACTCGTCCAAGGCTGCGAGGGAGGTTCGGGGGGCGCTGCAGGGGGCAGCGGCAGGGCCGGGGGGCAGCCCCATGCGGGCAGGGGCCTTCTTCGTGCCTCTGGATGCTCAACCCTCAGGCTCCTCCGTCCCCACTGGTCCCACTTCTACTCATGCTGCTCCTGCTCCTGCTTCCTCTGCTGCTGCTGCTGGTGGTGCAAGCCCTTCAGTGGTGGCCCTGCCCGTGGGCCCCTCTCCGCCCCCCCCTGAGCTGCTACAGCTGCACCTCAGCCTTTACCGGAGCTCCACCCTCGCTGCTGCTGCTGCTGCCTCTACTGCTTCAGGAGGAGGACTGGCAGCACAAGGAGGGGGAGACCTGGAGGCGAGGATGAAGGTGAGCCGTGCATGCTGTGTTGAGCAAGCCATGACAGTGGTTGACGGCTGCTTCTGAGTGTTGGACTAACGAATCCCATCTTGCTTGTGTGTCTCTGTCTGTGGCCTCCTTGCCCTCCCATCACTTCCCATCAACTGTTTGCCCCGCTGGCACCGTCTACTGTCACTTGCATTCTGCCCTCGGCGTGCTCCTCTTGCAATCTGTCCCACTCCTCCAACCAACCCCCACCTTCCCCACCTCCTCAGGTGGCCATGCACCGCGCCTTCTGGGATGCCACCCTCGCCTCGCTGCTCGCCTCGCCGCCCGACACGGCAGCAGCGGCGCGTCTGGTGGGCGAGCTGCAGGAGGAGCTGCTGCGCGTTGCCCCGCGCGCCTGGCACGACGAGGTCACAGCCAACCTGACACTGGATGAGGCGGACCTTGTCAAGGTGAGGAGATACAGTGTGGTGTAGTGTGGTGGGTAGTGCAGTGCGGTGGGTAGTGCGGTGCGGTGGGTAGTGCGGTGCGGTGGGTAGTGCGGTGCGGTGGGTAGTGCGGTGCGGTGGGTAGTGCGGTGGGTGGGTAGTGCGGTGCAGTGGGTAGTGCGGTGGGTAGTGCGGTGGGTGGGTAGTGCGGTGCAGTGGGTAGTGCGGTGGGTAGTGCGGTGGGTGGGCGAGTGCGGTGCGTCTGGTGGGCGAGCTGCAGGAGGAGCTGCCGGTCGTTGCCCCCAGGCTGTGGCATGATGAGGTCACAGCCAACCTGACACTGGATGAGGGGGACCTCTAGAAGGTGAGGAACAGCCTGCTGTCAAATGTGGTGGGTGGTTGAATGTGGTGCTTTATTTGAGCCGCAGTGCCCCTCTCCGCCCAACTCCATCCACTCCCATCCACCCCTCCACCCCTTCTCCCTGCTCCCCTCCCTCTCCCTCCCTCCCTCCCAGATGCTCACACAAGGAACGCCCGTCGCCTTCCACAGCCTCTAAGCACTGCTCGCCTATACCACGGAGCTCACTCTACGCCTCGGCGTGCCCAACACCCCTCTACCCCCTCTCCCATCCGTCCCTTCTCCCAGATGCTCACACAGGGAACGCCCGACGCCTTCCACAGTCTGCAGGCGCTGCTTGCCTATGCCACGGACCTCACTCTGCGCCTGGGCGCACCCTTCCGGGATGATGCCACGCGTGCCGCCTTGGCACGGCTCAACCAGGAGCTGGGTGTGCTGGTGGCGACAGGTGGCGCGCGCTCATTGGCAGAGGCGGTGGTGAAAGGGCTCAAGTTTGCCTTTGAGCGGCTGGAGGTGAGCTTGTGGGGGTTAGGGTTGAGGAGACGGGTGGAGTGGTTCTGGGGTGCTTTGTGGGGCTCAAGTTTGCTCTGTGGACAATACGATGTGCATTTCATGGCTTGTTAGGCTTGTCGGTTTCAATGACTGGTAGCGTCACATCTGGCATACTCAAGTGTCGCCTCTGATCGCCGTGACACACTCTGCCTTTCCCCTTCCCGTCACCTCGTCACCTTTTCTTCCTCTCACCTGTCTGCACTCCTTCTCACATCCTCTGCCATGCATCGCCTACCAGGAGCTCAAGGCGGACATAGCAGCAGCACGAGCGCGCCTCACGCCCCTCACCACCACTGCCTCCACTCTCCAAGCTGCCCTCGCCAAACGTTTCAACCTGCCCGCCTACCCCACCCCCGCTGCCGTCACTGCCTCCTCGTCCTCTCCCGCTCTCTGCCTCTCAACCATCAAGGAGAAACTGCCACGCACTTTCTCCTGGGTTGCCAGCTCTCTCAACCAATCCATCCCCACTGCACGAGCTGAGCTCCAACCATACCTCGCCACATCAGCATCCACTTCCAGCTCAGCAGCATCGTCAGCCGCTGCCACCCTCCCCTCTGCATCCGCCCTCCGCACCGGCCAGCGAACTTTGTCTTCTTCTAGCGCAAGCACGAGCGGCAGCGGGAATGGCTGCATCGACTGGGCGGCAGTGGCGTGTGTGGTGCGCGTGGGGCTGGTGGAGGTGGTGACGTCAGCGGAGGGTGCGGAGGGCGGCACGGTGGCAGAGGCACTGTGGCTGGACGTGGGCAAGCTGAGGCACGCCCAGAACGAGTTCCAGTGCGTCGTTGTGGTGGCCATTGGGTGAGTGACATGGGAGAGCGAAGACTAGCAATTGCGTGGTTGTCTGTTTGCATCTCTGCCCCCTCACCTCAGAAGGGTATCTTGAACCTCAGCTGCTTCAATTCTACCCGTTTATTCAAACTATCTTCCGTTGCTCCTCTCCCGCTTCCCCCTACCTGCAGTCTGCTGCTACTGCGTCAGCTGCTAGCAGCACGAGCCATCCTGCCATCGCCAGCAGTGGAGGCCGTGGTGGCCGCCACGCGCACCACCCTCGCCCGCCTCGTCTCCTCCCCTGACGCCTCCCGCGCTGCCCTCGCCTCGGCCCTCGCCGACGCGGTAATCGCTGCAGCCCGCACCAAGACAGCCCCAGCAGCAGGAGCTGATGCTGCCCCGGACAGGGCAGGCATCGAGGCGCTGGCGTCCAGCCTGCTGCTGCGAGCGCTGAACCCCACCGATGCCATCTTCCTGCGCGTGCGCGCCTCTGTGGCCGCCGCCCTGCGCGCCCTGCTGCTGCTGCGCCCCGTCAGCCAATCGCAGGCTCTTCTGGCCGCCCAGGCTGCACTCAGGAAGGCTGCAGCTGGGGACCTGCTGAGTGGGAGTGAGGAGGCGGTGGGGGAGGGGAGGGGTGATGGAGGAGAGGGAGTGGGAGTGACCACCGTGGTGAGGCTGGTGGAGGAGATGGCTGATGTCGTGCTGACCGTGCATGAGCCGCTGGTGCGTGTGGCCATGGCTGATGCCACTGAGGGATGAAGTCGCTGGGATGCTGAACCGTGGCGAGCAGACAGACGGAGTTGCTTGTTACAAGGCCATGTGGGTCGCTGAGCACTGTGGCTGGTTGCTCTGGTTGCTCGAGCTGCTTGTCACAGGGAGAGGGGATGGGGTGACTTCTGAAGTGGCTGCAACATGGCGTGTGGGAGGGTGGAGGAGATCGTTAACGGATCGGTCCAACGCAAGTTGACCAGCGGGAATGCATGGCAAGGAGGATGTCTGGGGCTCTTTCATGGCTGCACATTTCTTTCCAGTAAATAGGAGCGCTGTATGGTTGTATATTCAGCTGGTAGCAATGCAAGTTTCTTTTCTAGCCGCTCGTAGAAGCTAACTGTTGTAAGCACCCTTGCTTTTCAATGAATTATTGGTATGGAAGCAACTGTCTGGTTGGTATTGAAGGAGGATTTTTTTACTATGCATAATGGCTATATAGATTCTTTACTGAAGAAAATTATTCCTTGAAAGGGTATGGGGAGTGAGCGTGGTTGTAGAAAGTTCGTGCATGAGGGCGTGTCCAGCTCGTTCATTTCGGGAAATTTAGTACCTCCTCACGATCCGGGGTTCAAAACTGATCACTGTACCTATAAACGAATATGACCTGCGTCGAGTCCACCCTTTTTGTCATTTCTAGCGCGCGGACACATTCCCCCCGCACAGACTTCAACAGTGCAGTGGCCTATTGAAACGAGGTAACCGGTTCCCTCGTCAACCAAAGCATTGGAATTTTCGCCAAGCCAACACTTCCACTACTGGTTTTGGCGAGTGTCAGGCTGCACTGGCGAAATCGAGCGCGCGATACGATGGGCACTCACTGTAGTGGGCAGGACGCGGTTCTGTACCATTGTTCGATGCGCACGCTGATTTCTGTAACGTGCGTCACACGATTCGAGGTACGTGCAGGGGGTGTGCCGTATCGTGAACGGGAGCTGATCGTGTCTGGCAATTTTGTAAAATTCAGTGTTACAACGCAAAATCTGGTAACTTAAGGGCTTTACTAACAGTAAATGAACGAGCTGGACACCCCCTGAAGGTTCAGGCTGGTGAAAACTCTCAGTGGTGAAGCGAGCATACCGGCCCAAAACGTATCTCAGCGTACTCAACCGCTTTTACTGAACTGAACATGAACTTTCGGGACTAGGCTTAACCATTTCATTGCGAACGCCTCTGATTGGAGGAGGACAGGTGTGAGCACACGCTGCGTGGCGCAGGTCCCGAACCTAAAACCGGACCAATCAATGTTGGCGCTCCCGCCCCCTTCTCCTCCCCCTCGCACATCCTTCACAAAATCGAACTGGGCAATTGTGGCTTTGAACAGGTGGGGCGCTGCTTGTTCTAAATTCGTATAGCGCGGTTCAATACTATAAAGTACGTTCGGATTCGGTCGAGAGTGCTTGCCGCTATACCATTGCGCTGCGCACCGATTGAATTTTACTGAGCGAACCCGAGGAAAACCGTTTTCTATTGTCAATGTCTATGGTTCTCGCTGTTCAGGCTGTAGAACTGCTGTCGCTGGGACGCGCCTGCATCGTGCGCAGCATTTCGGCCGCAGTGTTCCTGCCGCATGATTGATTTTCGTTGGCTGTACACTCGTTTTCACTACTATTTAAATTGAACCACTATTTAAGAGCAGCCGATTAACTATTTAATATATCCACTCGTGGTCAGCAAGAGCTGTTCGGGTGGGTCACGCGATGGCGTCGCCTTCCAGACCTGGTGCTGCATCTCAGCCGTCCGATTTAGAATCCGGTCCGCCTCCCATCGTTCTCCCGGCGAATGCAGCATTGCGGTCGCCTCCCCTTCCGCCGCGCTCTGCCACTGTCGCCGGTCGTCCGCCGCTCCCCCCCGCCTCCTCTGAATCAGGTTCGGATGGGCCCTCCGCCGCCTCTCCCGCGCGCGGCGCGCGTTCCCCCGCCGCAGCCTACGCTCCGCGCCCATCCGCGTCGTACTCCTCGCCCACGTCCGGCGGAAACGGCTATTCCACGCGCCCCGCGCCTCCCCCGCGCGCGATTCTGCTGCAGCGGTCGCGGTCGGGCGTGCTGATCGGCGCGCGGTCGTTTGGCGGAACGCAACTGCCGTGGGAGCCGCCCAAGCGCAAGCCGCCGCAGCACACGGCGGAAGTGGGCGCGAGCGACGCCGTGGCGCAGAGCCTGGACTACGAGTAAGCGGGAGCCGCCGAAGTGTGAGGGATTGGGAGGGGTTTGGGGAAGGGGTGGGCGGCAGCGGGGAGTGCGTGTTGGCACGGCAGCCTGATGGACGCTTCTCTTCCCTTCTGCCGCTCTCCAGATTATTCCTTCAGTGGCCGCTCATGACTCTGCTCCGCTCTCCTTCCCTCTCCCCTCCCCTTCCCCCTTTCTCTTCCCCAGGTTAGAGGAATCGGAGGAGGCGAGGGCGGCGGACAGGCTGGGGCTGGGGGAGGCGATAGATTGCACCGCGGCTAAATGGGTGTTCGTGCTGCTCATCCGGTGCATGACAGACCAATTTCCCTTGCCTCTCTCTCCTCCTCTCTTCTTTCAGCCTCCTCCCCCCCACCCTTTACCCCTTCCTCCCCCACTCCTCCCCCTCTCTCCCCTCCCCCCCTCCCATTCAGGTTAGAGGAATCGGAGGAAGCGAGGGCGGCGGATAATCTGGGGCTGGGAGAGGCGATGGAGTACACATCGGCCAAGTGGGCGCTCCTGCTGCTCATTGTGTGCATTGACAGACCGATTCCCCTTGCCTCCCTCTCCTCCTCTTTTCTTCCCTCTCTCCCCCCCCCCCCTTTTCCCCCCCTCTTCTCTTCCCC